TTCACTTGGTGATGAAAACCTTATTGAATGTAGTTATACTTTCTAAGTTTGTTTTATACATCTTGTCTGATCTATATTTTTCTATTCTCTTAACATATTGGAGTATGGAAGGACACAGGTAAGCGCCATCCTCCCTAATACTACTATTTGATTCACATTTCATCGTATTAATCAAATGATTGCAAGCGTAGATTGTAAGTAGTTTATATCATCTGAAAACATTAAAAAGTTGTTTATTTTGAGTTGTGAAGTTATATCGCCATATAATACATAGTAGCTGCATTTTAAAGTTACGCTATAATGCTGGATGGTGACTTATTTAATAGTTTTTCTTGTGTGCTTTTATAAAATACTTAACCTATGCGTTTCAATATTTTTAATACATTTTCTTTACTTTGTAGCTACAAAGGCTCCACCAAATACATCGTCTTCAAACATCGTTGAAGGGACCTCCAGCGTTTCTGAACCTATCACAAAGTCCAAAAAAAAGTTTTCTGCACCAACACAAGTCATATCAGGTAATTTCAAATCATTGATGAATTTGGACGAAGCCTTAATAAATCAAGATATAAATATGCATTTATTTACTTTTTATTAACTAAATAAATCAGTTTTAAAGTGCAATATTTCTTAAGAATACAGGTGTATACAAGATATTAATAATTCATATGAATTATGTCATGACCTGGCATGGCCAATTTAAGAGTATTCGTCCAAGAAACGCTTTTACAGCCCTTTGATTATATATTTTCTTACTAGAAGTAACTGATACTACCTGCCTTTGTTAATTGTATCAAAATTGCTTTTGGTTTAAATACATTCCTTGCCTTCACGAGTTGGCAGTTATTATTTAAATTATATGAGGTCCATTCACCCTACTTTATTTAAGGTGACAATGAGACCGGTAGACTAGAAAAACTTCTTATAATCAAAAAATTTGTTTATTTGTCATATTCGTTTATTTACTACTCTTATAGCTTTTTTCATTCAAAGGCCATTTTTGTTCGCTTTTTCATAAACCTATGTTTATTTTACTTTCATTCTTGGTAAAAGTCAAAACCAGCTGCAAAAATCAAGCAATTTCCAATCAGTCTGCTGTTAGGTCACATGAGCCCTCCGAATCAAAAATCCGTCAACAGGCCACTTCTACGCCAAGGGATCTTGAACATATGTCTGTTCTACCGTCTGCGCCTTGTGATTCTGTAGCTCGCGAGCAGCTTCGTGAACTCGTCCGACGGCAAAGAGAAGCCCATCACATAAGAAAGCGTTGCGAGGTTCAACTTCAGCTAGATGCTCGTGAGCGAATTAAACGCAACCTCGCCGCGACTGCCGCTGCAGCTTCCGCTGCTGCCTCTACAGCAGTGCCACCCTTTCCT